CTAAAAAATGCGTCTAAGGTCTGTAACTGAGGGTCCTGCGTTTCCCTTAGTCTAAGGGCCCAGTCCTGGGGCTCGTCCTGTAGTAGAGAAATTACAAATCCCACCTTGACCAACTCTGTGGTAAACGCACGTGGTTGCAGTTCAAAATACAAGTAACATGCGTTTTTGAACGTTCTAAAACATGCTCGATCTCCCTGAAAACGTTCAGGCATGGGAATGCGGGGTTCGGCTGGTGGAGCTGCAGCCGCAGCCCCACTGGGAGATTCAGAAACCGCCCTAGTGTCAATAGCTGAGGCCTGACTCTGAGGGGACACTCCAGATACCGTTAGGGTGTCAAATCGATTTTCTAACCGACTACACTTGTCCTGCAGGTTAGTTACTGCCTGGGTCAGAACAGACAAATGTCAGCACATCTCATCCCATGGAGAAGGCGACCCTCCAGACTCGGTCATGGCCGAATGGTACTGTAACGGACCGCCTGACAGCACCTCTATCAGTCCCCCGGTAGAGCCTCCCCAGAGTGCGGAGTCTAAGCACCAGAGCACTTGTTCACCAGGGCCCCTGATGGTGGGGATGGACTTGGAGCGCTCCGGTACAAGGTCGCAACTATCAGGTATCTCCAACAGGGGTAGAGGAGTCTGACAGGGGTTCCAGAGAGCTAGGAGTCTGATGTAAGGGAGCCTAGTGATCCCTGCGGGGTGGGTGGATGGATGAGCGAAATCAGAGTCGTGCAGGCCGGGTCGGTAACTAATGGATCAGTAAGGTACAAAACGGTAGGCAAAGGATAGTCGGGTCACACGCAGGGTCAATACCAGGAGGTCAGATCTAAATGGGAACATCCAGGAGCAGAGTCAGGCAAGCCAAGGGGTCAGGACGGGAAAAGGCAACAAGGTCAAAACAATCCAGATCAGAAGTACTCACACACAGGTGACAGGATACAAAGACCATTCGGCAACAAGTGTCTGTGCAGGGCTAGTTTAAATAGCCCGCCCTGCACCTGACAGGCGTAGCCTGGGTCCCAGTGCCTGCCTAGTACTGTTCAGACGACGGGTGCGCCTGGGTCCTAGTGCCCTGCCACCTATACGTCTCGGCAGACACCTACGCATGTGTAGACCCATGCGTCGCGATGGTTCCTGACAGGAGCATCATGGTTTGGGGCTGCTTTGCTGCCTCAGGGCCTGGACGGATTGTTGTCATTGATGGGAAAATGAATTCCAGAGTTTATCAAGACATTTTGCAGGAAAACGTACGACCATCTGTCCACCAACTGAAGCTCTGCAGAGGATGGGTGATGCAACAGGACAATGACCCAAAGCATACAAGTAATTCAACAAAACAATGGCTGCAACAGCACAGGATACGCCTTCTGGAGTTGCCCAGTCAGAGTTCTGACCTCAACCCGATTGAAATGCTGTGGCATGACCTTAAGAGAGCGATTCACACCAGACATCCCAAGAATATTGCTACACTGAAACAGTTTTGTGAAGAGGAGTGGTCCAAAATGACTCCAGATTGTTTGTGCAGGTCTGATCTGCAACTACAGGAAACATTTGGTTGAGGTTATTGCTGCCAGAGGAGGGGTCAACCAGTTATTAAGTCCAAAGGTTCACATACTTTTTCCTCCCTGCACTGTGAATGTTCACATGTTATATGTGCAATTAAACCATGGCAACATCTAATGATTGTGTAGTGTTATGTTCAGCAGACTGTGTTCTTCTATTGTTGTGACTTAGATGATGTTCAGAGCACATTTTATGCCCAATTCATGCAAAACTCCACGTAATCTCAAGGGGTTCACATACTTTTTATTGCAACTGTATTTATACACCATAGTTTGTAGATGTTATAACATTCACACAAACCAACTAATATACATTTATTGAGATTTTTTTTTTACCAAAGACATGTAGCAGAATACATTTTGGCCTAAATGTATGACTAAATTTAAGTTTACTGGATATGTTTTATAACATATAATTTTTTTTTTTTTTTTATAAATATAATTTTTTTCAAAATGTTCTGTCTTTTTTAATTTATATAACAAAAAATTAAAAAAAACCCAGTGGTGGTCAAATACCACCAAAAGAAAGGTATATTTGTGTGAAAAAAGGATATAAATTTTGTTTGGCTGTGCGATTACAAGTTGAACTAGCATAGTGCCAAAAAAAATGCCCTGGTCGGGAAGGGGGTAAAATTTTTCAGAGCTCAAGTGGTTAAAAAGGCTGTTCATGCTCGAACGTCCTCCAATGTGGCTGAATTAAAACAATTCTGCAAAGATATGTGGGCCAAAATTCCTCCAAAGCGATGTGAAAGACTCATTGCCAGTTATTACAAATGTTTCATTGCAAGGTTTAGGGGCAATTAGTTTTTCACATAGGGCCAGGTAGGTTTGGACAGCATTTTTTCTTTAAATGAAATCATCATTTAAAAACTGCATTTTGTATTTACTTGGGTTATATTTGTGTGACATGTGGTTCCTTGTCCAATTAAAATGTGTTTGTTGATCCGAATCATTTAGGTGTGAAAAATATGCAAAACAATTAAAAATACTTTTTCACAGCACTGTATAGCCTCTTCTACAAGGTATTTGGGGCAATTATTTTGCCATTGTATATAATGTATATATTTCACAGTGTGGGTACAAAGCTGCAAACACTTTAAGAGGACATCCTCTCTTAATATAATAAATGGCAATTAAATGTTGAGCTATGTGTGAAAAATATACATATAAATCGTGAAAACAACTGTAAACATAGTACATAAACAAAATAGTGTAAAAAGTGATATCATATAAGGTCCATATAAAGGACAATATAATATAGTATTTAAAGTCTATTGAATAATATCTCCACAAAACAATTGATGAAAAGAACTTGCGTTCCTTAAGTGCGATGATAATAATATATATATAAATCTTTTTTCCATCCAACTAATCACCAGCATAAACCGCCATCATGTGGATAAAATGGAGGCTTACCAAATGAAGAGACCCCTTAACTATAGGGGGTCATTATAAGCTTTGTATCGATGTAATACCATCCACACTTCTACATCATATCAGGGTCCAGATTCCACTTAGATTAGTAAGTCATTCTCTTAGCATTGTCAGGACAGTATCATGGAAAATAAAACATGCCTCTCATAGTGCATTAAAATCAATGTGCCTTTATTGCGCAAATAAAATTCTGCTTACAGAGGTACAGAGGATTATCAGCATTCATGAACAGTTTAAAAAATGGCAGACAGCACGATGACGTCAGAAGGAGGCTCCGCTCGATGCATTTCATCATCAAAAGACATCTTCCAGGGCTAAGGAGCCGCCCTCCATCACTGCGCATATATAAGAAAAAAACAAGCCTTGATTTGGAATAAACCCAACTCCAATCATGTACAGGAACGGGAAACCATCGCATCCGGAACCAAGCCTCAATTTGGAATAGATGCCATTATATTCATTTACAAGGAACTAGAGAAGATATTACATCTGAACTGCAGAAGATGTCAATAGTGGGCTGGAATAAACCAGACCTCACTCCCAATTCACAGCAGAAAATTCGCAGTCCAGCCCAAATAAAACAGAAATTCCTAGGGCAATCAGTAAATAAATATTTAATAAAAAAGGAAAGTCAAATGTATACTAAATCACTGATGACACATTGAAGTGGATAGGATATTTCAAAATAAAAGACAAGATTACAATTATATGTTCCACTAACTACAATGATATCTAGTGTTCAACAAACAAAAAAAAGAAAGGAAGGAAAAACATATACAAAACATCATGTATAATTAAAATATAAGCCATGTTGACCATGAGGCATATAATAGTATTCCAATAAACAATTACTAATAAAAGGCACAAAAAAAATCAATGTAAAAAATATAACTAAAATATTAAAAATGTAAATATATAACACTAGTGGGTTTGTTTGCCCATTTATTACTTCTTATTCAGTTTAGCATGATTCCATTAAAAGTATTTTGAAGAAACATTGGCAAATTTTGTGCAATGATGGAATATTGGGATGTATTTTACCTCCTAAACCACAAGTGATAATTTGTGGTGTTCCATTCCTGCATAACAAAATTGCCCCTAACCCTTTAGAAACCCTTTAGATTTTTCAGAATCTAAAGAGTTTCTATAAATGCAAAAGGTGCTCAATATGTCAAATTAATATTTGTTCAAGCAAGGGCATTATGACCTTTGTGTCTACTGCCATATCTAGGAATCATTCTATTGTACCTTTCGTTACCTGCAATTCCACCAATGTAGTTGATATTTTACAGTGCCCATGTGGCCTTCAGTATATTGGGAAGACCACCCGTACTCTCCAAATTATATTGGGGGAACATGTGGGGAACATAAAGAAAGGTTTTAAAGGGGACAATGTCTCTAGACACTATGCCAAATTCCATAATAAGGACCCCACTGGTACTTTATTTTTAGGAATTAATAAATTCACTCCACATTGGCGAGCAGGGAAATTTCCAAACTCGAGACCAAGTGGATACATACTGTTCAGTGTTATGAGCCTTATGGAATGAATGTAGATTGGGACATTTATTATTATTATACCAGATTTATATAGCGCCAACAGTTTGCGCAGCGTTTTACAAAATGAAGGTAGACATTACAGTTACAATACAATTTGGTACAAGAGGAAACAGAGGGCCCTGCTCGTTAGAGCTTAAAATGTAGAAGGAAGGGTTGACTGATACAAAAGGTAATAGCTGTGGGGGATGAGCTGATGGAGGAAATAAATGGCAGTTTACTAGGTAGAAGAAGGATAGGCTTCTTTAACCACTAGCCTACAGGGCACTTATATCCCCTTCCTGCCCAGGCCAATTTCCAGCTTTCAGCGCTGTCACACTTTGAATGACAATTGCGTGGTCATGCAACACTGTACCCATATGAAATTTGTATCATTTTGGTGGTATTTAATCACCTCTGGGGATTTTTATTTTTTCTTAAACAAACCAAAAACCACTGAAAATTTTGAAAAAAAAAACGTTTTTTCTTAGTTTTTTGTTATAAAATTTTGCAAATAAGTGATTTTTCTCCTTCACTGATGTGTGCTAATGAGGCTGTAGTGATGGGTACTGATAGGCTGCACTGATGGACATTGATAGGTGGCACTGATGGGCACTGATGAGGAGGCACTGGTAGGTGGCACTGATGGGCATTGACAGGCATCACTGATGGGCACTGAAAGGCAGCACTCATATATGACACTAACTGGCACTGTTAGGTGGCACTGACTGGCACTGTTAGGTAGCACTGAAGGGCACTGATAGGCGGCATTGATGCACACTGATAGGTGGCACTGACTGGCACTGATAGGTGGCACTGACTGGCATTGATAGGTGGCACTGACTGGCACTGATGGGTGTCAGACGGGCACTGATATGTACCATTGATGTGCACTGGTAGGCACTGAAATGTGGCACTGATGTGGCACTGATGGACACTGACAGGTGGCACTGCTGGGGCTACACAGATCATCAGGGCACACTGATCATCAGTGCTCTGATGATCTGTGTAGATGTCCCCTCCGAGGAATGCCGATTACCGGCTCTCCTCTCCTCACGAGCTGTCAGCGTGACAGCTCGTAAGGAGAGAAATGCCAATAACTGACATTTCCCTATTTACATGTGATCAGCTGTGATTGGACACAGCTGATCACATGACTGAGCCGTCATCTTTGGCTCTTTCCATTGATCGGTGATCAGCTGTGTCCGAGGGACACAGCGCACTGCCGATCGCCACGCTGCACACTCCTGGAGCCATGCATGTGCAGTTAGAATGGGAGGACGTCCTCCCAGAACGAGAGAACTGCCTTTCACCCATCATTGTACTATATGGCGGGTGGGAGGCGGTTAAAGAGAAAGGTTTTCAGGGGTCATCTAAAGGTGGATAGATTAGGAGATAGCCAGACAGATTGGGGTATGAAGTTCAATAGGATGGGAGAAGTTCAGGAGAAGTCCTTGAGGTGAGCATGGGAGGAGGTGACGCAGGAACTAGAGAGCAGAAGGTCTTGGGAGGATCAAAGAGAGCTGACATGGTTGATATTTTGAGACCAGGTTGGTGATGTAGCTGAGGGCAAAGTTGTGGATGGCTTTGTAAGTTGTTGTTAGTATTTGAATTTTATTTGTTGGGCGAGTGGAAGCCAGTGGAGGGATTGGCAGAAAGGGGTAGCAGACACTGAATGGTTGGTAAGGTGGATGAGCCTGGCAGCAGTGTTCATGATCGACTGGAGGGGGGATAGCCTATGTAGAGGTTAGCCAATGAGGAAGGAGTTGCAGTAGTCAAGGTGAGAGATAACCAGGGAGTGAATTAGGAGCTTTGTGGTATTGTTATGGATATGGTAAAATGCCTATTTCGTTTCCTATTGAATATATATATATACACTATATTTTTATACACATTTTTATACATATTTACTTTTATACTTTAATACTATTTCTTTCTTCATATTTATAAATGTTTAGCATGAATATTAATGTTGTGTGAATATTTTCTGCCTGCTGGGCTTTGTGAAACTTTAAGAAATCCTTGCTTAAGAAATGTTTGCTCACACGCACCGACCCCCTCCCATCGTGTGATTTCGAAGACAAAGGAATGTTTTTCTTTCTATAAGATAAGACTTGGAAGAAGATCACACCTATACCATGACGGAGATTGTTTTCGTGTGGAAATGACCAATCAAAGACTAATATAATGCTTATGCTGTTCTCACATGACTCTTGCATCATTTTGCATATATAAGCTCACTTTCTCATTATAATAAACTAGAAGTGTTCATAGACTGAACTTGTGTGTCAGTGTGAGTCTCTTCCAGTGTGCGCACATTCCAAAGCTAGCTAGCAAAGATTAATTAGGACAGGAGCAGATAATCAACGGACACTTTTGTTCCTTATCTAATTCAGCTGGTGTCGAAACCCAGGACTCCGGGTCATGAACCTGCGGACAGCCGACCTGACAGGGCGTGAGGAATCACTCACAGGACTGGGATAGCCTGATCAACTCTCAAAGCATGGTAAGATATATTTTGCTATCTTACCAGTGCTTATCCTGTCCTTGTTGATTCATTCCTGTGCCTAGTACGGCTGCTTAAGGTCATTAAAGGCAGGTAACATTACTTGCCCGGAGTTTATTTGAACTTTACCTGCATTGATTATCTGCTGTCTGGTTTACATCGTTTGTGTTTGTTTTTATGTGTCAGTCTTGAAGTGGATGAGGAGTGGACCTACTGAGGGTTTTGACACATAATTTCTCTTGGGTGTGGTAACCTTGTGTGGTACAAAACAAGAGGAGGTGTTGTGTACGCGTCACAATAGTGTGACAGCGGGTGCCGTAACCGTGTGTGTGTGTGTGGGTTACGAAGAGTTACTCAGTGATCTGTACTCTAGCCCACCAAGATAGACTGATATGTCATGTCCTAAATGTGTGTCTAGAGAGAAAACAGGTGTCGCACACACCTAGTGCATTATCCAAGGTTTATTGTAGGAGTGAAAGAATAATAAGAACATACTCACAGACGAAGCATGTATCTAAAAAGCATAGAAAAATGACAATGGTCAAATGGCAGGCAAGGTGTTCTCACTGTCAGTGCAGTGACGCGTTTCGGGGATGAATCCCTTTCCTCAGAGCTGATGACCAACCTCTGATGCTGATGTATGATGAATGGAAAGTAAGAGCCTTGCTGTTGATGCATCATGCATCCCCGAAACGAGTCAAGCATTTGAGGGGAGAGGGGGGGCACAGTACAGAAAGGTGCCCCTGCCAACTAGAACAGCTGGAAGATTGTGAACACAGTGAACAGCAGCGAGTGAAGAGTCTTGGGTTTCTTTTAGGAAGACCAGAGACAGGAGGAGATGGGTCAGACGCTGATAAGATTGGAGAAAGGAATGTTAGCACGTGACCTGGTTGCACAGAGGGAGGGGGAGCAGTATGTGAAGGGATTAGTTAAATTAGTGAAAGTATGTGGAATTACAGATAAGGGGGGTCGTTTACAGTCAGAAGAATGGCGGAAATTGATACAAGAAAAGAAAGGTGTATTAGTTGATAATAATTTGTTGAGGACAGCAGAAGCTTGGTACAATGTAGCCAAAGTTATCCACAAAGAGCAGTGGACAGAACAGGTATTGCAACAGGAAAAAAAAAATGTTTATGTGTACCATTATTGTGTTAAATATTGAAAAGGAACACCCACCGCCCTTTTCCCTGCCCTTCCAGTTCCTGCCCAGTCAAGTGCACTTCCTGATGGCAGCCATCTTGCTGCACCTGCATTGTCACTTCCTGCCCAGCCCAGTGCACTTCCTGATGGCAGCCATCTTGCTGCACCTGCATTGTCACTTCCTGCCCAGCCCAGTACACTTCCTGGAGGCGGCCATATTGGTACACCAATTAGACAACTGGACAACTGGAAGGCCAACGCCTCGAGTGAGCCGCCTCTACCCAGTGTGTCCGGTCTTACAAGTCAATGGTACATTCTACGTACCGCCGGATGTGCTGAGCAGAATCCCAAGTTGCCTGTGGTCCACAGGACCCAAAGATAATGGACGTTTAAAAGGTACCCCCAATTATGGTGGAACTGAAGCCTGGAGCTCCCCTACCCAGGAAACCACTGTACCCACTGAAACCAGCGCAATCCAAGGCCATTTCAAAGCAGGTCAAGTCCCTTGTGGCAAATGGTGCACTCATACCTTGTACCTCTCCATGCAACACATCTTTGTTCCCGGTAAAAAAGAAGACACCCAAAGGAGAACCAGAGAAGGACAGGATGGTACAGGACCTCCGAGCAGTGAATGAAGCCACTGTCTTACAGACACTTATCGCCCCAAATCCCCACACTTTATTAACAGGGGTATCTCCAACAGCAAAGTACTTCACCGTGGTGGACCTGGCAAATGCATTCTTCAGCGTTCCCTTGTATCCTTCCTGCAGATACTTCTTCGTTTTTACCCATGAGGGGCAGCAATACACCTGGGCAGTTATGCCACAAGGGGTGCAAAATCCTCAGAGCCAGTTCGCCAAAGCCATGACCACCATACTGGACACGTGGCAAAAGGAACATTCGGCAGTGGTCCTACTTCAATATGTGGATGACCTTTTCTTCTGTGCTGATGACCTGCCCAGGGCTGAAGAAGCCTCGGAGAGTTTATTATGTTACTTGGCATACCAAGGCTGTAAGGCCTCTAAACCGAAGTTGTAATGGTGCTCTACAACAGTCATGTTTTTGGGCCACTGCCTCTCACATGGAACAAGGCATCTTACGGAGGAAAGAGTTAAGGCCATCCAGAACCTGCCACTGCCGCTAGGCCAGAAACCACTCCACGCCTTTCTTGGCCTCATATCCTACTGTAAGTCATGGATTCCTGATGCTTCTTGGTTTATGCAACCACACTCTACGATGCTCTCAAGTCTGAGCCCTTCCAACTTTTTGGTTCTAAAACGCTTATTTTCTTCAGCCCCAGCCCTAGGTCTACCAGACTACGAGAAACCTTTGAAACTGTTCGTGTCTGAACGCCAAGGCCATGCCACAGGAGTATTGGCCCATGGTGACCGCCTATGACCCGTAGGCTACTACTCATGCCATTTAGACCTAGTGGCTAGAGGAGCACCCTCGTGTTTGCGTGCAGTTTTCGCTGCTCAAGCTCTGCTGGATAAGACCTCTGATATCGTTCTGGGATATGAACTTGTCCTCCTGGCGCTGCCTGATATTGCTGCCATTTTAAACCAAGTCCAACCTAAACATTTGTCCACAGTGAGGCATCTTAGACTACAGTGCTCCCTCCAACTTCCTGATAACGTCACTCCCCTACGTTGTCAAACCTTGAACCCGGCCACTCACCTCCCAATTGCTGAGGGGGGTAATGAAGGAAATGGAGAGGATAATGGAACCACCGAGCCTCATAACTGTCTTGAAGTGATGAAAATGGAAACTTTCCACCTCCTTACAGTGAGTGAAACCTCTGCAGGATCCAGACTTCACTTTCTTTGTTGATGGTTCCAGATATGCAGATGATGGAGGCAAATATCATACAGGATTTGCGGTCACTACTGCAGATACAGTCCTACAGACAAGAGCCCTATCGCCAGCAATATCTGCACAAGGAGCAAAACTTCAAGCACTCACAACAGCATGCCGGATGGTGGAAGGAAAAAAAAAAAAGGTGCCAATATCTACACAGACTCCAGATACGCCTTTAGGGTGGCCCATGATTTCGGACCCATATGGAAGGCAAGAGGATTTATGACTGCGGCAGGAACGTCCATAAGACATTAAACAGCCATTGGACGATTGCTGGAAGCACTCCTTCTACCCACTCAAGTGGCTATTCTGAAGGTAAAAGCTCAGGGGAAACTAAACTCCCAAGAAGCCAAAGACAATAATCTGGCAGATTTGGTGGCAAAAAACGAGCGGCCATGGGACCACCAGAAATGGAAGGAGAGGTGACCGGAGAGTGGGAACCAATATTCACCTTACAGACCTTACCCATGGACAGAAGCTATCTCAAGGAACTCCAAGAAGCAGCAAGTCCAGAAGAAAAAGAGGGCTGGAGACGGAGAGGAGCTATTCTCAAAGATGGTCTGTTTGAGTGCAACAAGAGGCTTTGTTTACCCAAGAATATGTTTCCAGCTGTAGTCCAGTGGGCACACGGAGCAGCCCATCTGTCAAAGAGCCTCATGAACTCTCTCATCAACAAGTACTATATAGCGCCTGGAATCACCACATTGACAAA